CAATCGTACTCCAGCAACCTGGTCCAAAAGCATCAGCAAGCAGTGTTCAAGGAAAGAAAATGAGCAGGCTCTCCCTGCAGACGAGGCCTTTCTAGACAGTATTTTTTTTTCTAATGAGCAGCCTTCCCCCTCTCTCAGCTTTATTAAAAAAACACGGTTGGGAGAAGGGAGCAAATGTACAGTAACACACTGGCAGGGAACAGTATTAAAACGCTGCAGAGGCAGGATTCATTTTTTTCACTCAGTATTTATTATTGTTTCCTCTGCTTGGAGAGTGAAACTGCCAAAAATCTGATAAATTAAGTGATGGGTCTATTTCTCTGTACGTTACGCCGAAATGCTGTTCTTACTGCAATATAGCACCAAGCCTAATGACTCTCCCTACGTGCCTCTGACAGCCAACAATTATTGCCCCCCCATCCACCCACCAAGGCTTGTCCTAACTGGAACGAGAGCTCATGGGTGACATCAAATTGCCTACTATGTTTTTTCCCCTTGCCCGTTTTTTACAATGAAAGGAATGGAGGAAGGGACCAAATTTCGGGAGGGAACAAACTGGTATGACATAAAGGACTCAAAAGCATCAGTCGGGACAGGCTGCAAATCGACTCTCCCTGGAAAAAGACGCTAGCCAGAGGTAGCTGCAATGCAGGATTTCCAGTTCACAAGATTTTTTTTTCTCACATTTAGTTTTAGTCCAATCAGACCCAAACCAGTTTGGTTTCAATTTCTTGGACATTTGGAAAACCTTTTACTTTGGAAACGCACGAACGTGATGTTCTGTCGACTTTGCTCAGCAGAGGGTGGGTTTTCCTAAAGTCTACAACACCGTAGCAGTCCTACCTGGCAGACTCCCCGCTGGTCCAGTACAGTCCCTGGGGTCCCTCACCTGAGAAAACCCACACGGTAGGTCTGGCTGGGAGTCACAGACCCAGGATTTCTAGACTCTGAATTTCTGCTCTGCACCAGGGAGCCTGGCATTTGGGAGTCCTGACCTTAGGCAAGGGTCTCAGGACCACCAGCACCTGCTATAAAACTGAGTGCTGAGCTCCACTGAGCGCTGAGCTCCACTGAGCCCCGGGGCTCCCCAGGCTTTCAGGTACCACGAAGGACCGCCTGGGCTAGCTGGGCACCAGTGCCTCTGGAGTAGCCAGTTCTGGGGCAGCCCCATGCAAGATACCTTGAAGCTGAGTCCCACTTCAGGACTTGCAAGCCCCTAGAGCTGGCAAGGAGCTGAAAAGAAGGGGGCTCAAATGACTTGAAGGCTCCCAGCTTCACAGTTAACCCTAATTTACCTGGCTGCCCCAAAGCCAAAGACCTTAGAAGCATCACAGGCTACCTGGGGTGGACAGCCCACAACTGTCCTGGAGCCATGGCCTCTGGCAAACTTGGTTAACTAGAGCCAAGCATTTGCAAAGTTGAGGTACGAGTCAATCCCTCACCAAAAGTCCCTACTTGACAACTGCACAGCTCATCTGGAGCCCCAGGGAAGCTACCAGGGCCCTGTGCTGACTCAGGGGTTCATCCACATGGAGCACCTTGCACAATTATAAGCTACGTTGGTACCAGCCTCTGGCAGGCATGAGCCACACAGCCCAAGTGCACATGAAGTTTTCCCTGTCAGCAAAGATTAATTTAGCCACAAGCTCGTGTGAAATCCAACATTACAACCAAGACAACTAGCTGTTAACCTCTCTCAATTCAATCACAGAGAAAAAGAGCAAAGGAAGCAAGGAGGAGAGATGCAGTGACCAAATTCTGAGCGCCACCCAGAAGCCTGAATGCTAGTAAGAGCAGTCTCCAGTTTGACTGGATGGAAAGACACGGGTATGCATGGTTGTGGGAACAGGAGAGAAGCCTCCAAGGATTTTACATGGGGCTGGAAGGATTTTAACCCCCCGGGGTGTTGGAGCTGCTCGCCTGTGTAACTGAAATGTTCCTTGCGTCAGCAGGGTTTCCTGCTTTACAGGCTGAACCCACCATAAAAGAACCCATTGGAGTAACAGACCCAAAGATCAATAAGGATTAAGAGTAGTGGGGATGGATCAACTCCACCTTTTTCTGGCTTCCTGCCACACTGGAGCTGGCATCCACTACCCCAGTCATTAGCAATAAGCAGGCTGCTTCCTCGAGAGATGTCAAGACCAGACTCCCATCCGCTAAAGATACAGAAAGCACCTTCCAGCAGGCAAAGCCTCTACTTGCCCTGTCAAGACTCAGACACACAGGGTGGGCTAATGTCACCTTAGCAGGTATCAGAGCTGAGATGGCTTTTTTCCTTCCCCAGGGAGACAAATAAATAGACCTTCACACTGATCCCACAGAGCATCAAGGAGTGTGGCTTCCCCAATCTGACTGCACTGACTTTCTGCCAGGCGAGGTTCCTCTCCTGAACAAATCAAGCAGAATGCAAGGAGAAGCAGCAGTCCTCAGTTCACCTCTTGACAGCAGGGGACCCAAGCAGGGCCTTGCTGCCTTGGTGAAGTTTCCAGATAGGACCTGACAGGTCTCAAGCTCACGCTGCAACTCTAGGATACTTTTGATGGCTGCAGGGTAAATAAGTACCACTGCTCATCTGTACAGAGACGGGGCGTCAAAGGGGATAAGGACACATGCGCAGCACAGGCTTCAGTTCTTAAACCATTTCCTTTGCCAGGCGACAGCTCAGGCCTTTGAATCAGTTCACACTACAAGCAAAATTGTGCTTCCCAGGGCACACCTCCATTTGCCCTAATGGGGTGCACAGGTGCAACTGAAAGCAGAATACGGGCCCCAATGTGACAAGTCTTTCTGCCTGGCATTTAAAGTGAAGCAAAGCCCCAAGCAGAAAGGAAGAAAGCACTACTTAAGTTGCTACACTGACATGCACACCATGCGTGTGTCTATAGCTAAGATGTGGTACACAGAGGATCTGGCCCTTCTTGGTTTTATACAGTCGCTTCACCATTACAGAACACCGCAGGAAGTAGGGACGTGTTATTGCCATTTTAGAGCTAAATAACTGAGGCCCAGGAAGATGGGAAAGATTTGGCCATGCTAGCAGAGAGAGTCTGCAGTACTGCGCAGAAACCAACCAGTCCTCCCACGTTTTAGGCTAGCACCTGCACCACTGAGCCAACTCTTCTGTCTTCCTACTTTGTCTAAGTCCTAGGTGTCTGCAGTGCTGGGAGCAGACGATAACAAGGCACAAAGTGCCCTCGGTCTGCTTTCAGCTGGTTTGTTAAGCCCCCAGCTGCTCTTGGGAGCCAAATGTAGGAGCTGACAGGTAAGCATCTAACTCACAACACGGTGAGGGAGAAGACACCAACCGGTCTTGATGGCCTCTGCATCAGATCTTAAATAAAACAAGAAACACTTCACAAGCCTCTGGTTGTCAGATGGGCATCCTTGAAACACTGAAGCCTAAACTCGGGGCCTGCTCAACTGAAGGGGGTTCATGTCTCTTTTTTTAAGCACCATGAAAATGAAGGCTGTTGCTAACATAACAGCTAGGGCCTCCCGATTCCCCTTGAAATCGGTGCAATTCGGTTCCACAAGCCCCAAGTTTATTCAGCTCTCAATGACTTTACCATAAGGGGCCAAGTCACCCACAAATGAGACAGTTTCAGTTCTGTGAAACCCCAGCCTCTGGCAGGAGGCAGATCAAGTTCTCGCTCCTAGATGGCGAGGGCAACAAAATCTTTCCAGGGAAAGCTCTCCTGTGTCTCAGCTACTGCTCCATCATTTTTCACCCAATTCCCAATTCCATACACAGAGCAGATATTGAACAGGAAGGGCTGTAATAGTTCCTTAAAAGAAAAAAAGAAAGAAAGAAAATAAAAGTATAGCATTCCCAATCTGTTCCAAGACCACACAAAAAAGTGAACTGCACCCCTCATCCCCTTGTGACAGTGTATATTTGGATCAAGTCAGCTTCACAGAAGTGTAGTTAGATTCATTTCTGGCTTGGAAATCAAAAGGGTGGACCTCACTCTACCGCTGTGTTTTGGGGAAAACACCCATATTTGTTTTATTTCTTCTTAACTTGTGCACCTTATTTATCAGCTAGCACCTACACTTGTTCTCTTTACCCCAAAAGAGCCTCACTGCGGTAGCTGGGGTTCGACACAAGGGTCTCCCCCAACAAAGCAGTCTGGAAAATGAGGGCCCGAGGCCCCAACCCTGCAAAACCTAAAGCACACGCTCAGCCATGAACTCTGCAGCGCTACTCGCATGCAGACCCAGGACAGAAACATATTTCAAGTGAAGCGAGTGTTTAAATCGGCAACGGTCAGGCCTAAAACTGGACCAAACCCCATGGCAAACCAGACAGCTCCACTCCTGATGGTGCTCGACGGCAGTCAGTTCTTCAGCACGTCGTAACTTTAAACCTCCAAGTTGCTAAGTAAGAAGTCACAACAGCAGCAAACATGGGGGAGAAAGCGTACAACAAACACCTCGCCTGGAACGAGGGCAAAGAAACTTGTCGGGTAAACAGCCGGCTGGCAGCCTTCGTGGCTGGAACAAAACACAGCCCACACTGGATCATTTGTCTTTGCAAGCTTACAGCGCAAACTTTCCTGCAGGTTGGGAAAACGCTCCACCTCCAGCCCTCCTCGCCCCTACCCCCCTCGTCCCTGCCTCCACAAACCCCAGCGCGAAGGATGAAAACGGGGCGACTCGTTATGTACAAGCTGCCGATGAGGAAACGAGTCCTGGTCGGCCAATGAGCTGTCTGCAGTTTTCTGGTTTTTAGCCCCTTTTTGGGTTGCAAAAAAAGAATGCTTCCCACCCCAATCCAAAGGTGGATTCTGCACAAAAAAAAGATGCTTTGAGCTGATGACTCTGGAGGAGGCGGTGGGATGTGCGGTCCTGGCAGGCGAGGACCACCGCGCCGCGGCGATGCTCAGGATGCTCGCAGGAGCACCGGGGGCGGCTCAGACTCACCCTGCCCCATGGGAGGGGGACAAAGAGTTCCCCCGCCGCCCCGCCTGCAGCATCCCCGCTCCGGCCGGGCTCACCTGCGACATCTGCGGCCTGAAGTTGATGTCCTTGAGGTCGATGGAGCCCGGGGACAGGTTGTGCAGCAGCTGGCAGAGCAGCACCCCATCGCGCAGCGCCTGCGCCAGGTCGAAGACGGCGGCCGACGGCCACACCACGCGGTGGTTGGGGGGCAAAACTTTGCAGTCGATGAGCCAGCGCCCGCACTGCCGCCACTCCTCC